GTGAGTACATTGTTACAAGGGAAAAAGAGTAGATATTCAAGGACTTGGTGTTATCATGTAAAGGTTAATTTAGAGTTTCTCACAATGGGCATACCTCTGGGCACCCTAAGTATATATGCGCACTGCATTGGATTATGGGATTCCCACCACAATCTGAGGTTAGCCGTAGAACGGCTTACTCACAGCCACCCATTCACAGTTTCTTTCGGCAGAGCCCACAACCCTTGTAAAAACCCTGGCCCAGGGTGATAGGTTTCAAGACGGAAGCCCAGCAAACTAAAAAAGGCATTGTGGCGCTGGATTTGCGAGTTCTGCCATATTATCCATTGTGACAGGATTGCGGGAACAGCTGCCGAAATCAGACAGTTTTGGCATGACCTTTGCAATGAGTTTCAAGTAAGGTGTAACGCCGCAGATCACGCAGGCCACTGCGCATCAAGCAGGACATTGACATTGCCCAGCCGATCCATGGGGGAAAGAACCTTGGCCCACTCAACGCGGATAGGCATGCACACGCATATTGAGGAACCCCCTCCGCCGGCTCTCCTCCAGCATGTTGTGAATGGCAACAATGTTGCTGTGTGGGCTTGCCCTACGATGTCCTGGAAGGCCCGCAGCGCTTGCAGCTCCGGCTACAACGCTGTGGCACGGCCTCATGGTGGAAAGCATCACCTACATCATGGTTCCATTTGATAAATTGTGCTGGAAGATCGAGCCTTGCCGGCTTCGACCGTGCCTGCGCACGTCAACACAACACAAAAGTCAAAAGATCCCTGGCAGCGCCGTAGTACACCCAGGCGGTGGGCAGCTGGCTGGTCTTTGCCTGGTTTCTCGTGAAATGTCGGGGCTCTCGCGGGGTTTTATACCAGCACAGGAGTATGCCGAAAGGCAAGCCAACTGCAACCTGTAGGCATGTCAGTCGTCTGCACTATTGCTGCGACAGCTGATACTTGTGGAAAGCTTCCCACCTAGCTTCAACTTTCGGCTATTCCTAGCGGATGTGGGTTACGCAACTAAACTGACGTAGGGTCCTACAAGGGTTCAGGCTAGGGTTGAGGGCTGAGCGGGCCTGTTTAGGGATATGGGGTTTCAGGCTTTAGGTCCAGGGTACCCCACCCCTTTTGAGCGTTGGGGCTCCAGTCCACAGTGACCAAGAAGCAAATAACTTCGTGCAGGGAGTTCAGGCACCCTACCACTAGCCTTGGTATTCCTTGACCCCTGTTCGTCTAGGATGACGCACACTGCCTGTAGAACTTGACAGCACGACACCAGAACCTTTGCCGTCAGGAGTTTTGACCAACAAATAACCGTGACTTTCACCCTTTGTCTGCCGTCGGGACTGCCTTTATATTGGGGAGGTACAGTTGATGAGCAACATGCTGCTTGATCCTAAGTATACTATCTTACCAGAAAAGCACATAGCCATCGTGTCTCTGCCCAGCTCCCAACATACAAAGCACAGAAGTCTTGGGGCGGAAACTTTCATATTTGAGATCCAAAGCTGCAATGCTTCTGGCTTGAGCTGACCAAACAAATGCAGGCCAAGGTAACCATGTGCCTTCTCCAAGTTCCCTCAATGCGCCCTTTGACCATAGAGCCATAGAGGGGTCAGTGACATCTGAACACTGAATAAGCAAACGCACACTCTGACAGGCACAGCCGAGGATCGTCCCGTTAAGGGAGTCGTTCGAGGTGGAGGGTGCAGAGGTACTAGTGGCGCTGATGAGAGCGACGAAAGTCTCCGTGGAAGTTGCCACGGACGTTGATGAGGGGCCAGCAGCAGTGACAGAAGTCCCTGCTGTGCTCGACTGAGGAGTCGCACTCTCTTCCGTCGTTGATGCTGAGCTGATATCTGTGCTGGCGGTTGATGTCACGCTGGCACCCGTGGTTGTAGTAATGGTCGCGCTTGTGGTCACTGTCAGAGTGCTGGACCTAGTCCTGGTTGTGCTCATGCTTGTTGAAGAGGTAGTAGTGTAAGTGACTGAGTATGTTGTAGTATGAGTGGCTGTAGCTGTTGCCGTAATGGTTGCAGTGGCGGTTGTGCTTGACGCGCTGGTGGTGTCCGTTTCGGTGTTCGTGCTGGTAGCCGTCGCCGTGATGGTGACGGAAGTGGTGTCCGAAGTGGTATGTGTGGCTGTGGTTGTGCTGCTGCTGCTGACTGTAGTGGTGATTCCAGAGAAAGTGCTGGTGGTGTATGTAGATTCCGTGGTGCTGTCTGTAGTAGTGGCAGTGGAACTCGCGGTCGAGGTCGATTCTGTAGCGCTGGTTGTAGTGTCTGTCGTAGTATGTGTGGTGCTGCTCGTGTGGGTTCCTGTTAGATTGGTTGTGGAGGTTGTGACTGTAGCTGTGGCTGTACTTGAGCTCGTTTCTGTGGCTGTGGAGCTGCTGGTTGTTGTTGTGGTACTTTCCACCGCGGCCGGCTGCAATGGGTCCGTGAGCTCCACGCTCTCCACCATGACATCCGTTTTCAAAGCCTGCTTACTCACAGGGTCAGTGTTGCTATAAGGGGTTTTACAAATGCCCAGATATGAATTTCAAATGCTCAAATATCTACTCCATGGGTACTTGGAATTCTAGTAGCGCAGCGCTCATTGAAAGCTTCAGCAGGCTGCCAGTGCGCGAAGCACACCAGATGTTAAGTGTCCTCACCCCACCTTCATACAGGGGGCGTTTTGGCAAGAATTCGGCGATGCCTGTCTAGATAGCAGTCCTCCAAATTAAGGGTATCTCGTCTACGATGCCAAAAGGGCAAAAGACTTTGGCATAAAGCTGGGCTGAATCTACTGAGCACTGCTTTAGTATGCGAGAGTCTGACGGACACATGTGCAAAATCAACGACTCGCTGCACTTAGTGAGCTGAGGCTCCATTGTTGAGTACAAAAACTCAAAGTGGCACGCAAGCGGAGGTGCAAGACTAGCAAGCAGAGTCTAGCAGGATCAATTTTCAGTCATGACTACCACAATCCCAGGGGAGACACTAAAAACACATGAAACAAGGAATGCTATATAGTGCTTCGAAATATACAATGGGATGCACGCCGCTTGACTGAGACTTCTCGCAACTTCAGCTTGAGGCGTGCTTCTGCATGGAGATTAGCTTGACGCATCTGATCCCAGAGAGCCCTAACAAATACTTGCAGAATAATCTTTTCACAAAAGCAAGCAGCCCCTAACAAAAGCAAGCAGTCCCTGCATAGCCACTTGAACCCTGCAGGTCCTTGGAGAGAGCTCCAGTTTCTGAGGCATTCTGAAGCACCTGCAGACCCAAAACCCCCTTGCAATTCAGGAATAAAGCTCTAAACCCCTGCACTGTGAAGCCCGTTACTTTCTTGGGGTAAGGCGGAAAGTGGTTTCGGGTTCTAGGGGTGCAGATCCATTTCGGAGTGAACAAACATGTGTTAAGAAGGCACCTGCATCCATGGAAAACCAAGATTGACCATAGCAGCTCCTGAGGTTTGTGGCACAAAGTCTTGTAAAACTTGTGCCGGTATGTTGTGGGGCTGACACCCCCAGACCTCCAGCCCGCGAAGACCCCCCCACTTAGGCTTTAGGTGTCATGCAGCTTCAACACGTGGTGAGCCACTTTCTGCTGGGTGCTATACGCGTCATGTAGACACATATGCATACACAGAGGGGTCAACCAGCCCTTGCCACACCCACCTCATCATCTACTGCTGCTGTAGGATGTTGTTGGACAGCACAGCTTAGAAGTGAAGCAGCAGCAACCCTAATCCGCTTTCTGGCATAGAAAAAGCTGCGCAAATCGGGCATGATCTCTCTGCCCTCCTTCTACGCAAGTGAAGTTCAACCGCAAAAACAAGGGGACACGAGATATGTTCGGGGCTGATGATTTTTGCGGCTCCAGTTCTTCTCGGTTGCCTCCACGAACGGAGCAAGCTCTGCCAACTTGCCACCACCGAAAGAAAATGCATCTGCAGCAGGCTGGGCAAAGCTTCTTTGGAGATCTTGGAGGCGGGTTGTAAGACTTTCCCAGATATATCTCTGTGGCTGAAAATTGTGACGGTCCTTGTAAAGTTTGAGCCAAGCAAACAGTACGGTACAGAATCAGTGGGGGCTTACTTGTTGATCTAGCCACGTGGAATATGGATTCCAACTCTTGGCTTTGTGTTGGTAATCCAAGGTGTTGATAACGCATTGATCCTCATTAACATGATCCTCCAGCAAAACAAGCACTGCGGTTAGAAGAAACCAGCAAACAATCCCTTGATCGGATGGCATGACATCTTTTAGCTGGCACTATGAGAGGAACCTACAGCACCCTGGGTGTAGATTGCGTTTCCATTGTGCGCACTTTCCTGAACCATTTTTGACATGACATCTTGGAGCTCTTTCAGTGGTGAACAGACGAAACACAGTGAATGTCATCGCAGGTTCCTAGCGCGTGGATATGACTGTTCTAGGCGGCGGGATTCCTGACTTGGCCCGCCAAAAAACCTGTGTGAACGCTCCCCTTGATATTCCAATAAGTCTTTTCGGGTACAGTAAGAATATTCTTTGACAATCAACTGGATTTTTGTAATGCGAGAATTCTATGAGGCTTAGACGGGAACAAGAATTCTTTGCTGCGAACGCATGTGTCTTCCAGCAAGAGCTCTACGTGGAGAATCACTCTTGGGCGACGACAAACCAAACAGAACCAATGAATCAAGATATCCAGTGAGGCCCTACATGACCCCAACTCGATCAAATACTCCGGCCAATTCTTCGCATGCCCAATGCTTACCCGATATTCCGGACAACACAGCGCCAAATCCCGAGCTCTCGTTCACACTTAGGCCCGGGAGCGCCCCCCTAGTTTCTGAAACTGGGGAGCTTTCAGTGAAAGCAGGGTGTCGACACCGAGACCTTTAAAGAGCACTTTGCCCAAATCATGGAGCTCCTATATCCATGTTGTTTTCTTGATACGGCACGGCCCAGAGACGGAACCTAATCATGATAACCTGCCGCAAGTAGAGCCTATCGTTTTGGGGCCGAACTGTTCTCTATAACCCAGATATGTATACGGGAATCTGAACCCTAGAGCCTGGAGACTACTGGTGGACGGAGGAAAGTACACCACTTAGGACTTCCAAGAACAATATTTAGAAGATTGTCAAAGATGTAGTCCTCGTGTTGGGTCCGCAGTGTACCACGGCCCGAATATGAGGTAGCCCAAAAGGACCAGAATTCACAACCCCAAATAAGGCGAAGGAAGAATACACTAACTCTAAAACAGGTCCGCCTGACGTTTCATTGCTGCTATCCGCGCTCGATGCGTTAGCTTCCTTCGCATGTACGAGGAGAATGCTGTAGATGTTTCTGCGGTTTAAGGGCTTAGGGTTCAGGGCTACATTTGTAATCCCGCACGAATGGACATGCCACCTGTTTGAACGCACGGGTATTGCTACTAACCCGACATTATCTACTAACCGGAACAAACCCTATCTTGAGGGTCTGGGGTTGAAGGTGACGGGAGGTTCAGGAAACACTTGTCCATGGTTACTATGAAGTTACAATGGGGTTGTGTTACAAGGAGATAAAGCTGGAGAGAGGGGCCAGTGTTCGTGATAGCAGGTGGCATAAGCATCCTAAAAAGTGGTGTGACAGTATGCTGAATGCCGAGTCAACTTAATACAGAGAATCATGAAACCTCACTACGTATCCCTGCGCCCTATACCCCAAACGCTTGTCCATGTATACCCAAACCCTGGACCCGACCCTCCCTACTGCAGACACGCTTCCTCGCCCGAACCACCGAAGGCCTCCAGGCTCGAATGAGTTTAGAGCTTACCTGGAGATCCTAGTTACCCATAATGACCAGAATGATGGCGCGCACTTTTTGGAGTATAATATAGAATACAATTTGTATTACTTGTAGACAGTTGGATCTCGAGGACGGTATTGCGATCTCAGGGCAAATCTAGGGGGTTGGGGCTGAGGGCCTTGGGTGCTCGGATTTAGGATGGTAGATGGATTTGGGGTTTCGGTGTATTGCAGGTTTGAAGCCTCGGGGTGGTCGGGTTTGGTGCCGAGGGGATGTTTTTACGTAGTGCTCTCTGTAGTCGTGTTGAACTGGCCATGAAGATTGTCAGTTTGGCTGCTTATGCCTTGACCATCCTTAGAACCCAGTTTCCGACTGCTGTAAGTTATACTAGTTCATGTTGACATGACTTTTACATGCCTGCTACTCTTCTTCTGATTCTTCTCGCAGCCGCCTCCACCACCCCTACTGCTAGTGCTTCCTGCTGTCACATGCTCCGACATGGCTTAGTCGTGACCTTTTCCAAGGCTGTCGAGACTGGCCCGAGCGTGGGTTAAAGGTTTAAGTGCTCATTGTGGGGAGCAGAGAAGTGGCACCTTTCAAGTAAGTAAAATGAAGATGAACAACTCTTGGTATCCTTGTTGACTTGGCCTACGACTCCCCGCGGTCAACAGCCCTGGGTCGGATTTCCAGTGCCTTCTATTGGATTACACGTACGGAGCGAGCTCCAATACGTCGCACAAGTGGGTGCGTTTGGCTGTCGGGTCAGGAGCGTGACATGGAGGCCAGACATCAAACAAGCAAAAACACCAACTGACTTGAACTTCAGAAGCAGCCGTAGGAGACTGCAATTGATTTATCTCGACTTCTCCATGCTCTCGGATGCTGTTGTGCCTGCTGCCCTTCTCGCATACAACTGCAACACATGCCAGGCAAAAACTACAGCTGCCGGACTTTTTCCGAAGGAAAACTGATGTGAGTTGGTCCATGATGGAACCACTCCCAGTGAACCCCAAGTAACTCCAATGACTAACCCCACGAAACCAAAGTAACGTCAACTCTGCGGCAGTAATTTGGAGCTTGAAGCAGGGCATGGCTTCGTCAAGGGCCCAGCAATCTTCCAACATACCTTTTGAAAACCGAAGACTTTGCCGGTACAACCAATTGATGTATGGTCCTACCTGGGCGTCCTGCATTTGAGGGACTCTGAGGACCCAGAAGTCTAGGAACCTGCAATATGCACGCATAAGAGTCCAAGGTCAAGAGTGTCGAGTTACTGGTCATATTTTTTAGCTCGGGATGATCTTTCCCAGGGGAGCAAACATCTAATGATTATGTGCTTCCCTGCCAACCAAGCCAACCTTCAACCCCCGATTTTAGACTTGGTACTTCCTCCACAGGACCGAAGCATTCACCCTTACCATCCGTATTGAGACTCTGCAAAACTAAAACCCTTCAGGCCCCAAAGGGACGCAAGTCTTTCTTGCTTGGATCCTCTTTGTCAAGGTGTAGCCCTTCCCGCCTCGCCAGGCACTGGATCCGGAGTCTCCTCCCACGGTTT